TTGGTGTAGCCTCAGCGTAACATTGCACATGTGGCTGAAGCAGCAGGAGTAAACATTTTTGGTTCTGTTCACAGATGAGTTGTCATCGTACGGTCGAGGCACGACCACCGCGGGCACCAACACGCCGCCGATGAGCCCCAACAGCACGTCATCCAGAGGCTCCACGGGCAGACGGAGGGAGCGCACGCCCAGCAACCAGGGGAGCTTACGCAACGGCAGCTCCGGCAGGGATGGGAGTAGCGATGGGGGTTATGTACAGGCTAACCCCATAGCTTTCGAGAACAAGCACGTGAGTTCATCATTTGGTTTATGGTTTTAATGCCCATGATCATGATAATGATCATTCTGGTATACTCATTTTCACCTAAGTGAAGTGAGGAAAGTCGTATAAAGTGCCTTTTCCAAGGGCACAAGGTCAGTGACTTGGGAGGATTTGAACTCGGGACCTCGATCTTGATTCAGAGCTGAATGCTCTGCCATTATGTCACATGACCCCACAACAATTTACATTCACATTTGTGTCAAGAAAACAAATGCAAACTTCAATGTACTTAACCTACAAGTAAGAGGAGAGAAATGTAAGAATTCTTATTTAATGGTAAACCCACAAATACTCGACATGTGAAATTGTGATAAATAAAGATTTCAAAATAGCAAGTTGATATTGCATTACTGAAGACTTCTTTTCTTTCTGCAGGCTTGTTGAAGAGTCATCCTGATGTGCTAGAGAACATCTCACCAGAGCTGAGAAGAGATGCCATGGATAGAGTCTTCAGGATACATTTTACCATCATTTAATTAGAAAAAAACACACTGAAAATCAGCAAAAGTTGACAGTACTTCATAACATACAGGAAAAAAATTCAGTCCTCATCATGTACCCCATTTCCCAATCGAGAAACTGCTGTGAGATGTAAAGAAATCTTTTTTGTTTTGCTTATTTTACTGTGAATTTAACTTAACTCCCATTATCATAGTCTAAGTTCTGGAAGTTGCTAGTGTAGTCTGGTATTGTAAAGAGCAGATGAGATTGTGAAGTGAACTTCTCATATGCAGGTTTCTACCCAGTTACGTTATATTCACATACAGAATCTCTTCTTTTTGCTCAGATAAGTAGCAACGGTTAATTTTCTGCTCAGCAATATCTTTGTACAGAGAAGGTCAAAATTTCATGAAGTGCATCTAATTCACAGAAAGTTTGAAATTCAACCACCCCCTCCCCCAAGCATTGACGTCTACTGTTGTCAAAGTGTGTGTATATATTGAGGGACCAGAGGCATTGCTGGGAGGATACTATTATAGTGGTGTTTCCCCCTCTCTGATTTGAGTGGGAAACACTGTCTATGCAGTGTTTGATAGAGATCGTGGATTTGGCTTTGCAGTGTTTTATACATATTGCTGTAGTCAAACTTGTTGGTTAAGTTGACGAAGAAAAGTAAAAAAAACAGTAACCCTACTGAAGTCAATTAAATTGTAACTAAAGATGTACTGTGGCTAATACTGTAATGAAGTATAAGTTTTCTCTGTGAGAGTTATATAAATATATATATATATTTTTTGCTGACCCTTCGGCCTGTCCATGACAAGTAGATATTTGTTTGTGTATATTTTCATGCCGGCAGTGAAAGACAAGTTATTATTTCGAAAGCTTCCAAGGTTTCGTGTATCGAGTTGTTAACATTAGTAGCTGGAATCATGTGTTGCGTAATTTTTTTGCCTTTTGTTCTTATTTTTGCTGTTTCACTGCCATACAGAGTGGTTAGATCATTGTGTTAGAAAATCAGACTGTGCACTGGTGCTCCGAATGTATTTAAAGCACTGTACTCGTAGCAAGCGACACATAGTCCGACGATCATTCAACAATGTAATTTTTGAGAGCTGCTTTTTGTTCTGCAGTGTCTGTTGCTAGTCAGCTGAATATTCCCATGCCACGTTGAACTCTGTAAATATATATCGCAAGAAGCAGGGAAAGCTTTATGTATTTAACATTGTCGGTCCAATGTTTCTGTGAAGATAGAGTTTATCGGTACCACCGTGTCCCGCGTACCAAATTTAACGTAGTAATTTTTCCTTAGTTAAAGTTTGTTACCGTAATTCTATGTTGTTTCTCACAGTGAAATTTACTACTAAAGCCAATTTTGTGTTGTACCTAAGATAATAGAGGTATCATAACAGTAATCTTAACAATGCAAAACAACTAGTTTGTTTTATACTCGATGTCAGGCGAAAACTTGACTGTGTTTTTTGTACTTTGCTATGGAGGAAAACTTCTGCTGGAGTAATTATAATGGTGTCTGACTTGAATAACCTTGTACGGTACGTGGCTACGTATTTGTGTAAAGTTTGACTGTTGTCAAAGAGTTTTATTTGACGGCCACTGTAACTGGAAATTAGTACCTGATATGGTATCAATAAAAGACCTACTTACACTTGATGACTGTCATGAAGCGACATTTTTGGTTCAAAGTCCAACACCTTAATTTTACACTTTACACGATACAAGTATAATATTTATAGTATTATATACTGAGTCTGAATTCAGGCGCTGCTACAAGCCGTTCTAAGAATGTTTCTCTCAATATGACCAGATTCAAAACTACAACGGTTTTTGTCTGATAAATTCAGGATATTTAGGTAGTCAGAGTGAGTCTCACGGTCAACAAGTGCAGGATAAACTTGGGAGAAAACCCCCGTAAGAGTCCATCTCGTTTCCCAACTTGCGAAATACCGAAGTCTGGGTGCTCCAAAACGGGGGTGTGATAGGGAATGATTTTTAAATTAAATGCTTTCCATTCATAAAATTAATTTTTATACATTTAATTTGCTAACTTTTATGCATTTTTTGCCTCAATTTATACTTCAAAAAGTGATTTTATGATCGGTTGATCCATTGCACAAGTGGTCACAATCTTCGCCGAAGTGAAGTTTTCGCTGTCGGAGACATTACCATATATGAATGAAAACCAAGCAGATGTCGGGAGGGAAGATCGCCTAGATTTTGATAGCTTATAAGGATCACTACAGTCAATATACACCCACTTGTTCTTTCGTAAACTTTTGTTGATTGTGATGAAACGTAACCATGGTGTAAAAGTGGAGTAAGTTTTGCCATACAATCATACATTCCATGATGCAACGACATTAAATATATGATAGAAGGAAAGAAAAGAATGAATCCTGCTTCTATATTCCTCGGTCAAAGTCGTTCCTTTGCAACCCGTCCATTCTGTACTGCCAATCTAGGCAAACACGAAGCAAATCTGACAAATGAAGCCATGGATCAAAAGCGCCCCTAAGCGGCTATAAACAAAACAACTGCAGTAATAGGAACGACTCGGCCAACGGTATGTTGCAGTTCTGCATTGAACTGCTAGAGGTCGCTTTGATCCGTGCACTTTGCGTAACTAGACAGCCTCAAGTTTGCTGGATCCCCGACCTCATACCTTCGCAATTATGCAAATGAGGTACGGACTAGAATACGTTTTGTCTGATAATGTTCATGTTCACTTTACTTCCAAATGCCGTAACTATGAAATTTCCACCATTTACCAGCATGTTAGAGATAACGATTATCTTATTTCCAGTCAACGAGAAACATTAACAATTCGTCGGTTCTAAAGGTTTAACATCATCTGGCAAAGGTATGAGGTCGACAGAGCATTGAAACTTGTTTTCGAAATTCTGTGTTTTTTCTCCTCTTTACTTCAATGAGATTTAGCTACAATGCTCCCGAGAGTATCAAAGACAATGCTAATTAAGTACAACCTACCTTCCAAAGCGGACGTGGTACGTCTTCCTGAGCTGAATTTTCCAGTGGTTTCCCTAACTTACACACTCCTCGCCATCTTGGAGCGCGCGCAGGCGCCACGTGTACGTTGTAATCACCAGCAAAATTTGAATTTGACAAGTAGATTAACAACAGGCCAATAGAAAAGCACAACTTATGCAAGCCAGGCAGACTTCTGATGATCTTATTATAAGTTTGGCTTACAAATTTAGTTGTTTTGCTCATCATTCTTCTTATCTTTATCCTTGTTCATATGGAACCACTCAAACCGCGATTCGGGTAACTCGCATTTCTCACATCTGGTCCACGTGCCATACATTCCTTTCAAACAGTGCCCGATCACGATTCTCCGAAACTGCATTCATTGTTGTTTGGTGAAAACACGCAAGGTAGCTTGTTATTAAAGTCAGAGGTCAACGACCTACTTGCTGGTGCCCCCCTCCCAGCGTATCTTGGACGAATGCCGACGTGGTCCCGCCAGAGGCGGTGAAGCTCGCCCTAGAACGGACACATTATTTGACCATTACTGCTCTTTAAGTTGCTGCCACGTCAAATTAGGTATTGCATATAAATAAAGAAATATCACCCCGTAATCCATGACCTGGTGAAGTCACATTGAAATCACATTGCGTTCAGGCGCAAATCGCGATTCGGGAAAACCGATTCGAAACCACCTCTAGAAGTGGTTTGGGATCGATGCGCTTTCAATGTGATTTGGAGCGTTCAGATGGAGCCACTTGAAACCGGCTTCGGGGTAAACCACATGTAAAGCGCCTTCACTGACTTCATATAAACAGGGCCTTAGTAATTGTCAAACAAATGATTTTCGACTCACTCAAGAGAACAGTTTCATCTTCTAGCTAGTAGTTGACGAATTCGCTCAACATTCCCTACAAATTTTTGTCCAACTTTTTTCGCCCGCTCGCATCAGTTTTGCGGTGCCCAGAGGATGTCATACATATAATCAAATCAATATAGCCCGACTACACAAAGTGTTCCAAAAACGGAGGTATGGTAGCGACATTAAAGCAAGTATAGAATCTGTGTATAGATTAGTATAGAATAGATTACGTGCTGAAATCATTCGAAATGGTTTAAGCTTACACTGCGCTTGCGTCGACTGACGACAACCATGTAACTTTGACTTTGGAATTAAAGTCCAATGTCCCTTCTGGGTCGCTGAAGTACGCCCCATTGACGTCCTTATACTACATGTATTTCATCCATGCGCTATCCGGGAGAAGGCTGGCGCTTGTTTAACAGACAACAATGTTTGAACCATTACTGACAGGCCACAACATCACAGCAGTGCTGGTTGGTGTTCTGACGTTTCTTTTATTCGTCATATTCCGAGTCCGTAAACCAGCGGGCTACCCCCCGGGTCCGCCGGGATGGCCCGTGCTCGGCAACCTCCCCAGTCTGGCCCGGAACGCCCACCTGCAGCTGACGGCCTGGCGTGGGACGTACGGGGACGTCTTCAGTGTGAAGATGGGTCTACAGGACGCCGTGGTGGTCAGCGGGATGGACGCTATCAGGGAGGCCCTGGTCAGGAAGGCCGAGCACTTCTCCAGCAGACCAGACCTGTTCCTGATGCGCCGTAATAACCATCGGAATGGTAACTAACTCAAATATAACGTTAACCATGTTGATTACCTTATAGTGCCACCTACTGATCCTGGCTTAAAACGACCAGAGACCACCAGTAGTCTCATCTTTATTCGGTCTGTCGTGTTCTTTGTGTAAACGAGTACAGCGAAAAAAAGCATAGGACTAGGCCAAACGGTATCGTCCTTCACATTTGTACGTGTTACCACTATTTATAGAAAACTGTGATGTTGACCTTTGCTACCTTTGCTACCTTTGGTACTGTTTTGTATGGGCAAATATCGGCTCTTCTGGTAACCTGGGTGCCAAACCCATAGCACACTGGACAGATGTACAAAATATGCTCACTGAGATACTTTCTGTCTTGTGTGCTATCGGTCTGGCAACCAGGCTACTCTTCTGGCTACAAC